TAATCCAAACATCAAACGCTTCACTAATCGTTTGTCTGATAGTCTTTTGTGAAACCGGGAATCCTTTTTCATTTTTCCATCAAATAACCGAAGGAAAAATTAATGTCTTAAAACTAAAATCGGTAACATCCAGTCTTTTCGATGTTATGTCACTATACGTGACATTTTCTAGGTGCATATCAAACGTCCCCGGCCTAGACGTGACTGACACGAGTTTACTCGCCACATCCTTTCGGCTTACCTGAAACGATACAAAAACACATAAACAAGTAGCGAGCATGTAGTACGAGAGAGAGAGAGAGAGAGATGGGGGTTGAGAGAGAGAAAGATGCAGCGTACGAGAAATCGGGCACAGTATATGCTATCATGTCAACAGTACAGAAGAATAACAACATGCGTTATATGTTGTAAACAACAAAATATTCACGAACCAATCTTCTCTGGCTTGAAACTGGCATCCCTCTTAAACAAAAGAGAGCCATCGTTCGGACGAATCTGCAGCCTGTAGCCAGCATGGCGGATGAAGTGGTTGGGGAAGTTCACCGACTCGAAGGCCGTGTACCCTTGGAAGAAAAGGTTAGGTCGAGGAACGAAGGTGGCGTCCTCGTCAAAGATGTTAGCATTCCTTGGATTCTTCGAGCTTTCGAGGTTCAGGAAGTAATTATAGTGACGGAGATAGGAGCATGGATGTTCCAGGGACATGAAGGAGACGGTCTTCTTCCCGTCCTTCTTCCCGCTTAACCCTGGCACAATGCGAAAGGCATGCCCGCTGTAGCCCTGGTTGATGTACGCGTCGCCATTGTCCCTCAGTCCCCAAGTGTGGGCCCCAAAATTTTGGGACCGAAGAAGCACAACTGTAATGGAATAAAATATATAAGTCATTATTATTCTGAAATTATTTCCCATCCCCAGAGTTTTTGTTTATTTGGATATAAGGGAGAAAATAGAAGACAGATATTTGTCATTTTAATATTTAAACTATTTAAAAAAATTAAATTGAAATCAAGTTTTATTTTAACGGTCGCAACAATGTACTTTGAAAGTAATATGTTGTAGAATGCTCTATCCAATAATACTAGAATTCACGAAATGTCATTATAGACAGTTTCACCCAAAGTCTTTACGTGGTATTTGGAAGCTTAAATAACAATTCAATTTCATTCTATTTCTTGATTCTTATTCCTGGTAATAATACTTGTACATGTGCATACATTTCATGGCATTGTGCAATAATATAACGTAGCACACACATACTTGCCATAATGCAAAGTAAATAGAATAATTTCTCTTCATTTTGAATAAAACATGCGAAAATAATTACTTGAAATAGAGAGAAGATTCAATTCTATTTATTTATTTATTATAATTTTACTACAGACAAATCGGATAGAAAAGATCCCGATAATCAAAGTCATGTACAGGTGACTTACTGCCTTTCTGGGCGGCAATCAGCGGCAACAGCAGCACAGCAATGGCAGCAATGCGCAGAGAAAACATCTTCAGTTGTTCCTAGAAGATATAATAAAAGCGATTTTCAGGTGAAGAAATTTTGGCTTACAAAGATGATCTTTAAACAGGTGAATGAACTAAAAATAGACACAATATAAAAACCAAGGGTAGTAGTCGTCCGGTGTAACGAAACTGAGGGTCCGCGTAACACCAAGTCCGCCCTCCATATCCATTGTAGCTATAATGTTTAGAGTTAGCTTGACCTAAGTGGGTCAAAAACAAGGGCAGGGCTTACCTGACTCAATTGATTACGAAGCGTACTCTCTATCATGGGGGACTCTCTGTCACGTTACACCGGGATATCCTAATTGTCTGCACAGTCTGACGTCATACAAGACTAGAAATTTTGCCAGAATCCATGAGACTCAGCTAACCGTGCAGCAATAAGGGCGAAGTACTACGTGCGGGGGATGTCTCATGAACACAGTACAAATATCACGCACAACATAGTGAATACATACTATTGTGCAAAATACCGTGATTCTACAAAACGTTAGACTGGGCTCCATCTCCATACTGAAGCTGTTAAACGATAATTAATTACTCCCTGGCAGCTTCAGTAGGCGTGACAATTTAGCGAGTATCACACTCACATATATCACGTGCACAGGTCATATTGAAAACCAGGCATGAATTAAAATCCGCCTAGGCGAGTTTTCCGCACCTAACTGATCTGCAATCTAATAAACACCGAGAGACTGAACCATTTTTTTTTTCTGAACTGTTTCATTCAAAGTGTCACGTAAGCAGCAAAGAATTTTCAAAATGTTTGTCGAAGTAGACACAGGCCTGACATATAGTTAAAAGAACCCGTGTGTGAGACAAAACAAAAGTAAATTATTCGTAATTCTCCGCATGCACCTAAGTTAAAACAAGGAGTTCTTGATCTGATATTCTTTACATAAAATGTTTTTACGAGGGATAAGATTATTCTATTTAAAATTATCTGTAACTTTTAATATCGATCTGACCTAGGCGGTTTTGAATTCAGCCTGTATTTCAGTCTGGCTTATGTAATATACAAATATTTTTTAAATACCTGTATGTTGTCGAGAAATTAAAATACAAATACATGCTTTGCATAAAATATGACCTACCTGTTTGATACCGTTATATGTCACTGTATACCACAAGTGTTTCAGAAGTCTTGCTGTCTCTCTCGCTTTCTCTCGATCAGTCGAAGAGAAACTCACTGGGTAAAGCTAATTTCCAACTTCTTATTTATAGATCTACCGAAAACGTCTGTTTATGGATTTTGTCAGAATATTCCTTTTTTCACGCCGCTGTGCCGCTGCTTCAATCAAAATTTTTGGAAAAGGTCCAAATAGTGGTAATTGTGTGTCATTTTCTATGCAAAAACGAATGTCCAACTGATTTTAGATGTATAACATGGAGGCCATTGATAAATTACACCTCTATGTCATACATTTTAAATCAGACGGGTTTTGATAGACCTCAATTTGTAACATTTGGTTATACATCTAAAATCAGTTGGAAATTTGTTTTTGCATAGAAAATGAGACATAATTACGGACATTTGAACCTTTTTCAGCAATTTTGATTAAAGCAGCGCCACGGCTGTGTGAAAAAAGGAATATTCTGACAAAATTTATAATCAGATGTTTTAGGTAGATCTTTAAATAATAACTTAGAAATTAGCACTACTCGGTCAGTCTCTTCTACTTTGACAGACTTATTCAGTTGTGGTCCTCTACAGACAAAATCCGGTATAGGGACAATCCGTTACGTATAGGGACAATCCGTTACGTATAGGGACAATCCGTTACAGACGATTGTACCCTGTGAAAACTTTTTTACAAACCTGGTTGACGAACTTGAAAACCGTTGGGGCAGTTTTTTATATTCTTTCATGGTTAGAACACCCCCCCCTCCCCCCCAAAAAAATCTTCTCATACTTTGTTTACGCCAAAATAGGAATTATTTTAAATACAACTAAATTCCGTTTTCTTTGGCAGTTAAACTCCGCAGATATAGGAGCAATATGTACTGTGGAAGTGATACCAACCGGTTCGGAATATCAGCGTATTACAACGTAAACGACACGATTTTGTCTATAATCATAGTTTTTTTTTTGTTATTATTATCAAATTTGCAACCCGAAGGTTGGTTAAATACCTTCTATGCATCATTGTTGAATAAAACCACTGGCGAATAAGATCAAATGAATATTAAAAGACATATGTGAACAAATTTAAAACAAAATAACTAAAATGAAAGATTAAAGCTGAACTAAAAGTCTATCAGTCAATTTTATAACTTGTATTTCGCACTGGTTAAAAAGTCACTCATTGATTATTTGGTTTTAATTTTAATCTCATACATTTAAGTTGGCTATAGAAATAGGAAGGTGGATCAACAAAAGAAAAAAAGAGAATGAACGACTACAACGGTGCATTAAAGTACATACAGAGATTGTTATCAGTGAGAGTGAACAATGCTATTGAATCATTTATTTTCGGAAATTCAGCAATAACACACAGGAACACGCACAGGCACACACAAACACACATGCACACAAACACTTGCATGCACACGCGTAGAGGTAGGCCTACATGACACCAGCACACTGACAAGCTCTTGGGATATTTTAAAAGGAAGGGGCAGATTACAAGACAGGCGGGCGAAGATAACTAATCAGAAAGGAAAACTACCCCAATGTAAAAATCAAGCTGTCACATCACACCACATCTTTGTCACCAAATGGTAAGCCTACACATTTTGAGATCAATCAAAACCCGCCTGATTTAAAATGTATGACATCGAGGTCTAATTAATCAATGGTCTCTATGTTATACATCTGAAATCAGGTGGGAATTAGTTTTTGCATATTTTAACCATACCAGCGGCACAGCGACGTGATGACAAAAGGAATAATCAGACAAAATTATATACACCTACGTCTTTGGTAGATTTATAAATAATAAGTAAGCATTACTCAGCCAGTTAGTCTTCGAATGAGAGAGAGAGAGAGAGAGAGAGAGAGAGAGAGCAAGTACAACGCTTCGGTCCCACAGTGTACGGCTGTCGTAGTTATACATATATCTTCGTTGTGGCAAATGGCCAAAAATTACATACATGTAAAATATTCTCGACACGAATATTGGTTTTAAGAAATCTGCGTTAACAAATTTTTAGTTATTAAACATGTTGAAACTTTTATTAACAATAAAAACAAACAATGCCAATCCTTGTCACAATGCTAAACAACCCAGCAAGATGACTAATTGCAGATATATATACAATGATTGAGGTAAACACAACATCACTTAGCACCAGGCAAGATGTCGCTTACTGCATTTAAAAACTAAAATTCTTACCTACAATTTTAAAGTCTGACATCGAAAGTCCAAACTACGAGTAAAATCAAAATTAATTGCTAAAACGTATAATGACACTTATTTGTTAGATAACCAAAATTGCCGGTGATCTTAGTGCAGGATACACTTCCCTGAGGGTAGCGACGATGAACGACGACGATGTTTATCTGAACAACTTACCAGCGTGTCGAAGGACATGTATTAGTTACGAAAAGCCCTCTTTTCAACAGGCAATTATATGCATTTGTATTTTTAAATACTTCACATCACAAAGTGGATTTTTGCAGGCAATATCTTATTCAAGCAATAGTTCCAAGTAATGAACCAGAGTGAAATACAATCCTTATACTGTTTAGGTGACGCCAACTGTACGATACCGGTGACGATCTTACAGCTATTGACCTCTAAATATGTCGAATAATTTGAAGTGACTAACGCATAACCCAGGCTATAATCCACGCACGTGCCAATTTTATTATCCTCAAAGCATCGAGACCCTCCCCCTTCTATTGTCCATAAAGGGGGCGATGGCAAGCCTGTGACGGCCCGATATGTCCGCCGGGCGAGATATGTCCGACAAAAAGGAGCCAGATATGTTCTATTTGACCAGAGAATTATATCCGATATAATACCCTGATTTGACAGATCCTCTTATTTTGGCATAAAACAAAGTATGAGAAAGTTTTTTTTGTTTTGTTCTAACCATAAAAGAATATAAAATGTTGCCCCGGTCGTTCAAGCTCGTTAAACAGGTCAGTGAAATTTTCCAAAATAAATACAGACTTGACATTTAATATGGAATTTTTTTTCCAAATCATTTTTCATTTGTTTTTTTTTTCTATTTTGCTGACTGATAAATGAAAGTAAGGATTAAAATCGTGTTTTAATAACTTTTTATTATCTCTCTGATCTCATGGTGACTTCAGTTCATTGATTGAATTCGCCAGGTGCAGGTGAGGTGCAGGTGAAATCTGACCTCAACAAAGAAAGTCACGCGGTTTCAGTGTTCTACCCAGAAACGGTCATGCTCCCCAATTCATTAGAGAAACAGACGACGATGTTTTGCTGTTTATAGTAGATTTCTCGGAGGTCGTCTGGTATTCTTACCTGCTAAAACCAGTTTGGTGTTCGATAGGGGCCTTGAGAAACGCGTTTTGGTGGCAATTTGTCCCTCATTCTTAACAGACTGGGTGGTTTTTGTTTAGTTGCAGCAGCGTATCCCGAAAGACAGTGGATCCTGTACCCTGGTGGTGAGATTTCTATACATGCAGGTGTGGCCTCTGTGTAGGTACATCAGTCTGGGCATTACTCTATAAAACTGTGCGGACCGTTTTATTTGGCGCTATAATCTGTCTGGCAATGTCTGTCTTTTTCGCGCCATTCTGCCACAGATTAACAAAATCGTAAAGCACTACATGGCTCATTTTACGCAGTGCAAAAACCGAACGCTTCCATGCAAAAGCCGACATATGGATACTTTTTTGAAAGAACCATGCTTTGCCAAAGCCTAGCTTTGACCAGCCCAAAGGAGCACCACCCAATTAAATCACTGCATATTACATAAGGAAGCAGCGCAACAGGTATGGTAGTCAGTTAATTGGTAGCGATACACCTGACTACACACTTCTCCGTTCATATATCTTATATGAGATCGGAGTTTTTTGAAAAAAGAACGCACTGTTACCTAGGCATACCTTCGAAACTGAAATATTCCATATTAAATGTCAAGTCTGTATGTCTCGGCCAAATGTTTTCAAAAGGTACGTACTTCGTCTGTACCGGATTGTTAGGTTTAGGCTGCGTTCACATGAAAAATCTATTTTCTAAAAATCTATTGCGGTATCTTGTGATCACGGTCTGTGCCCTGAATACCTCACGGCGTAATTACTGGCAGCGCCGAAAATTAATTACAGCTTTGGAAGTAACTGGCTCGCGCTGCCCGATAAGATACCGCAAATAGATTTTTAGATTTCTAGGTGCCGCTCACAAGATACAGCAAATAGATTTTTAGACTTCTAGAAAATAGGTTTTTCATGTGAACGCAGCCTTAGTTTACTTTTATTGAGGTTGAGGAGCTGGGTGAACCGGCTCATCTAATGCAATGGACATCCATTTGCATAAACGTTAACTTTTCATTCAGGATGGTACACCATGAGTTTGCACTTTATTTCATTCAACACAGTGTCTCCGTAGAAGTAACACATAGTATACTCTTTCTTTTTGGTCAGTTATTTTCATTTTTGCTACTTGAAATTTATAGTTAAAGTAATGGCAGAAATGGTGAGTTTTTAATACTGTTTATTATTTATTATTGATTACTGGTGATGATTGAAATTTTTCTGTTTATGTGTAAGTGAATTTAAGCAATTAAAAACCGGTAATGAGTGTATTATTATTATTTCTTTTCTTCTTTTTAGTTTTTACGTGTCTTGTGAATTCCTACGTGAAATAAAACCGAGATCCAGTGAACAGCTTATGCTTTTCCTTGACTTTAACCTATCTGTATATAGCACTTCGTGATATACGGATTTCGGCTGTACATGTGACCACGCCCGATTTTAGGAATCTTCTTGGAATAAGAATGCTGACCTTTTTATCATTCTTTTGTGAAACCAATTCCAAGCCTTTTATCTCTTATTTTATATATTTACACATATTTTTATAAGTTTATAATAATAATAATAAATTTATTTTTAGTTTAAAATCCATTTAAAATGTTCAGTAGACTTTACATAAAATATCATAAATAATACTACATAAAATATCATAAATAAAATCTAGGTAAAACAGCCATTATTCCATACAATTAAATGCAATTAATACAAGATTTATAAAACCAATTAAGAGTTAATCAAAATATTTCCTAAAAAGGTATGTTTTAAAAGATCACTTTTAATCCTAAGTAGAGCTGACTCAGTACTGTG